ACACACACACACACACACACACACACACACACACACACACACAGGAGCACACATACAGACACACACACACACACACACGCACACACACACACGCAGAGGGCAGTTTTTTTACTTTTTTTTTCACTTTTTTTTTTTCCACGTGTATTCTGCCACGTGTCCGCGGCCCATTGGGCCTGACCCGTTGATCGGATTTCAACGGGAAGCCCCTGTTGTACCGTTCAACGAGGATTCAACTCGGCCCCCGGGGGTGTACAACGGGTACAACGGAGTTGTACAAAACCCGTTGCGAGTTGAATAGATACATAAGTTGTTGTAAACGCGCCGTCCTTGAGAGTCTCGACGTCGATCTCCAAGACATTGATGCGATCCGCCAAGTTGGAGGGTCCGGCGAGGATGGCTGTTGCAAGCTGCTGTTCCAGCCGGCGTACCCGGTCAAGCAGTTCGTCAATAATACGAATCTGCTTTCGGACCAAGGTGCCCATGCAGAGGATGTCCTCTTGTTGTATTGCACAGGTGACGACCAAGTCGCTGACATGTTCGATTGTGGTTGCAAGACCACACACAGCAGAGGGGGCACCCCCCTCTTCAACAGCCACTGCCCATTCGCCGGCGATCACCTCGATATCCCCCTTGCATTCGAGGAGTTTGTCTCGGCGTAGTCGACGGCGTTCATCTGCGACCGTCGCTGCTGCCTCAGCGTCCGCCTGTCGCTGCTGTTCAGCGAGGCGACGTTGTTCCTCTGCTTCATCGTCTTCCTTTTTACGTGCGGACGTTGCCGCAACTGCCTGTTGCTTGCACTCGGCTACCATGTCCAGCATGCGGGTCTCATAGGCCTCGGTAGTCTCGCCTGGCTGCTGCTCCATGCCGCTTGTTTTTGAGCAGGCGAGCAGCATGCACTAACGTGTTCTGCCATTGTGGCCTGCTGACGTGGCAACTTACCAATGTCGTGTACTGCTGGCGTGTACTGCTGACGTGGCCTGCTGACGTGGCAACTCACCAATGCCGCCGCAGGGAATACCCGGAGGAAGATAGAGAAGACCAGATGGGGCAACAGCATAGGTGGGGAGGGGGGATGAATCGCCCAGATAAAGAGCCACTAATCAAAAAAGAAAAGTTTGAACTTTGCAAAAAAAAAATTGAAATAAAAAAATCCCGAGTTTTGCAAGTTCAGTAGATCTCCCAACCTCCCTTGAATTACGAAATGATCATTGAGAGAAAAAAATTTCGACTTCAGACTGCAAATGATTTATAGACTGACTAACAGAATCCTAGAACTGCGAAATTTTTTTTTTTCCGAAAAAGAAATAAAATATTCGGACTTACTCAGCTGGGAGTATTCGCAGTTTGGAGAATGATACCTGCAGGAGGGATTTGCCGTACTGTTTTTTTTTTCTTAAAACGAATTTCGAAAAAGAAGATATTCCGAATTTCTAAGTGATGGGAAATGCAACAGGAAATCGAAATTTTCGAAAAGAAGAATATTATGGATTTTCAACAACGAATTTTCGAATTTCAGAAGAAAAACGAAAATGGAAATTTCAGATGTGTTGTTGTGATTTTCTACAACAGAATAGCGAGAAAATAAAATCCGAGAAAAGAAAAAGATTTCGATTTCCGGTAGTGAGGTCAAAATCGTGATTTTGGGGTCTAACTGGTGTGATCTAATCAATCAATAAAGACTAATCAGCTACCTAGTCCCCGCACACGTGTCAGATCAGGTTGTCTTGATTCACGTGCGAAGCTCCGGTACCAACTGTTACATGCCCAGTTGGGCGATGTACATAGAAAACCGAGGAGCCGCAATGTGATGAAAAGGACTGAATGGACAAGGTTGTGCAAGTACAATCTCAACTAGCAATGTGCATTCTGATACATACAAAAATGATGCTGAATAGCGCAGGGAAGACTTAGATACAATTCCTGACCTGACCGGGATGGACCTCATTCACATAGTATCCGATAGCGAAGCAAAATGCTAGACTGCTAACGACTAGCCCAATCAATGTGTGAACGCAGACCAAACATACATCGTATCCATCACCGAGTGTGAAGGAGCCTGGCGCTGTACACAGGAAGAGAGCGCCAGGTCCAGACATGCACAGACGAAGAGGAGGGAATCAGACGAAAGAAGGGAGAGAGATGGGAATGTGGTCAACACCAAGTCTTAGTCACAAGTCCCAAATAATCCCTCGTTACAATGTCTGAAGTCCAAAAGTCGAGTCTGGATCCGATGTCCCCAAGCTCTCTCTCTCTCTTCTCTCGTAGTCTGCAGATGCAGTGAAATCAGATGATGAGAGGGGGAGAAGGAGGTGGTGGACTGAGAAGAGGAGGAAGAAGAACCCCCTCTTTCTGTTACGAGCCAGATACTAACCTGTGACGTTGGCACTGTGCTGCAGGTACCTCGAAGACGAAGCTGGAGCGACGGCGCTGCAGGTAAGTACTCCTGGCCTCCGCCCAATCTCTCTCTCTCTCTCTAGTACTCTAGCTATGGCGCCCAGCGCTGAAGACTACTGCTAACATTGTAAGCGCCCAGCGCTTAAGACTAAGGCTAACGCTACTCCTACTACTACTGCAGCACTCCTCCAGAGTGCTGCGGCTGAATCCTGAAGACTACTGCCTCCTGCCTCCCCGTGAAGTGCATGGGAAGTCCAAATGTACTACCTCGGCTTGCCTCCTGACTGCCTGAAGGGCGAGCCAGGCCGAGGAGGCTGCTCTTGCCAATGCGGAAGTGTGTCAGGGGCTGGCGCTGCAGCAGCTGCTACAGCTAGCGTGGTAACAGGCCAAAATAGCCTGTTCCTAAAACCCTGGTTTGGTGCCTGAGTTTGAGGGTAGGTCAGTGTAATGAGGGCCCAAAAATGGCCCTCAGTTTCAGGCTAAAAAGCCTCGTGCCATTTTTAGTCTGAACCGACGCATGGCCTGTAGACCCCTGTTTCCAGCTCTACGAGTTGAACAGACACTGGGCCTGTAAGCCCTAAATTTCAGGCTTTCGGTCTGAAAACCAGGCTTTTAGCCTGAAGGACGCAGGGCCTGGGAAATGGCCCTCGTGTGCAGGCGCAGCATGTAACACTCTTCTCTTCCTCGCTACAAACATGCCGGCGCATGCATGAATCTTCTGCATTACTTACAGATCGCAAATGGCTTAAAACTGGAAATGAAATGACAAAGGCACATTTTGGGCGGGGCCAAGCCACGAACTCGGACAACCTAATTTTAGAGTTGGAACATCAATTTGACGATTCTCTGTCGCATGCCCATACTACTGACCACATTATGGCTTATGCTTCTGAGTTCTATACAGACCTCTTCACATCATGTCTTTCTAATGGTCA